ATGAGACCAAATCTTTCCCTGGAGACAGATCAGGGAGCCCTGCTATACAGCAGAGTGGGCAGAAGTAAGTCCATCCAGGACCAGCTAGTGAGGAGGGCACAGCCTCAGGAGCAACAACTCTCCGTCAAAAGAGCCGGCACTGACACACAGGTGCAATCACTTTTCAGTGAGACTGGGTAAAAGAGAACTGGTAAGGCCAGGCATGGTGGCCCATGTCTTTAATAGCACTCGGGAGGCAGGGGCAGGTGGATCTCTGTGAGTTCAAGGCCAGCACGGTCTATATAGTGAGTTCAGGACAGCTGGGGCTACAGGGAGACCCTGTCTCAAAAAGACCAAAACCAAAAAAGAGAGAAAAAACTGGTGAAGGCTGAGACCAAACATTTAAAGCCCAAAGCCCCTTCCTACCACAAGTCTCTGAAGAACCCCTTCCCATTACCCTTTGGCCCTTTAAATCAGCTGTGAAGGATATGTGGCGGGGGTATCGGCGGAGTGGGGAAACCATTCTTCGGGGATCTCGCTGTACCCGTTCCACCAGCCCATGGTGCCGAGTGCTCCGAGATGAATCCAAAGGTGAATGGAGGGGGCTCTGCCAAAAAGAACAGGTGAATCAGCAGGGGAAGTAGCCTGAGAGCCTCTACTCCTCCTTGGCTGCTGTCCACTCACCTGGAACTCGGCCAGGCCACAGCCAATCTGGTTAACATTGGGCAGAGAACCACCATAATGAGAGCTCCTTGTGTAAGCCAGTCGCAATTTTTGAGCCTGTAACTGAGACATAAGAGAAAAAAGGGAACTGGGTGCATCGGTGCACACCTTTAATCCCAACACAGATACAAAGGCAGGTGGATCTCTGTTGAGTTCAAAGCCAGCTTGATCTACTTTAGTGAGTTCTAGAGTTCCAGGCCAGTTAGGCTACAGGGAGACCCTGTCTCATAAAAAAATAAATAAATAAAATAAAATAAGAAAAGGAAAAGAAAAAAGAAAAGATAAAAAGGCATGTTAAGGAAGGACCCAAGCACAGTTCCCTTTGGCCATCTTTGTCATTCCTGTCACCAGAATACACTGCTGTGATTAAGATTATCTGCCAGTGCTGGGGGAAAGGTCAGCAAGACATGGACAAACAATCCACCCCAGCCCTTCTGCAGGCTTCCTCATCAATGAGCTCCCTACTACCTGACAGACATTCTGTAAAGCCTGTCTCTGTTGGTGTCCTAAGACAAGTCACAGGGACAGTTGCCTATTAGGCACCTCTGCCTTCATTTCCAGATGTGTCCAGACTAATCAGAAGATGAGAGGAAGGCAAAAGTGGATGTCAAAGATCCATTATTGCCAGTTTCTTTCCCCTACACTCTGAAGAGCACACATTGGACTGGGTCACTTGTCCCGCTTCAGAACAAGGCTGCACAGAGCCTGTACCTTCCAAACTAGAAAATCCAAAGAATAATGGCTCTTCTGATAGAAAAGCAGTGTTCAAACCAAGTACTCTCCCATGGGATGCTAAGATGCCTGAATTGGCAGGGGAGGGAGAGGGCACAGTACCCATTCCTGCTTGGGGAGGGCTCTTCTCCACTTCAGGGAGATGTACAGAGGTGAGACAATAACCTGCAGTCAACCACAGCTTTTATCTGTCTGTCTAAATCATGTCTCTATTTTCTAGCTACCACTGCTACCAGCCAAACACCCAGGACAAGGCCATGGAGAGGAGAGGAAGAGTAAATTCTGAGTGCTTCCAAAGTCACAATGCAGCACAGAAGACAATTAGATCTGGCTTTCTGTTCCAGATTGGCTTGATTCCAGTAAATAGTGATAATTTCTGGACCATTTTAAGCCTATTGTTAATCCAATGGTCTAGGCCCCCATGACCACATTTGCCTCAGTTGAGCCCTTCCAGATAGCCAGGTAACAACCTAGGCCCTGGCTCTTTCACTTCAAGCTCAAGATTCTTATGTCCCCAGGCTCTGGCCATGTATGTCCACTAGATTTTGCTGTATAGCAGAGAAATTAGTAACAAAAGAAAAGGGGGTGTGGGCTGAAGGGATGGCTTAGCAGCTAAGAGCAATGGCTACTCTTGCAGAGGACCCCAGTTCAGTTCCCAGAACCCACATGGCAGCTAACAACCATTCAAAACTCCAGTTCCAGGAGATATGACACCCTCTTCTGTTCTCCCTGGATACTGCATGCATGTGGTGCACTTCTATACATGCAGGTCAAACATTCATACACATAAAATTAATTTTAAAAAATTTAAGCCGGGTGTGGTGGCACACACCTTTAATCCCAGCACTTGGGAGGCAGAGGCAGGCAGATCTCTGTGAGTTCAAGGCCAGCCTGGTCTACATAGTGAGTTCCAGGACAGCTGGGGCTACAAGAAGACCCTGTCTCAAAAAGACAGAAAAAAAAAAAAATTTAAAGTTGCGTGTGGTGGCATATGCCTTTAATCCCAGCACTCAGGAGGCAGAGGCAGGCAGATCTCTATAAGTTCAAGGCCAGCCTGGTCTAAATAGTGAGTTCCAGGCCAGCTGGGGCTACAGGAGACCCTGTCTCAATAAGACCAAAAAAAAAAAAAAAAAAAAAAAAAAGTTTCTAAGTAGGTAATAGAAGCCCCAGCTTTGAGTTTCTCACAGCTTTTGTTTGCATACACAAGCTCTAAGAGCATACCATGTCTTGGCCAGAAACAGTCCAGAAGATGTCAAGGTGTCCACTGGAAATCAGACTCTCCTATCTTTCTGTCTCTGACCCCCCCATGATCAAATGCTCTTAACAAGAGCAGTCAACAGATAATTGTCATGGTGGGTCCATGAAGTTATATAAGTACACACAATCTCCCCCCCCCACACACACACCCCAGATCTGCCTCCCCAATTTCTTTCTGGAACGCTCACTAACTAGGGCACGTGGTCCCTAGAGACTGAGACGGGAAAAACACACTCAAAAAGACTCAAAGAGTCAGGGGCGATAAACACAAAAATACAGTTATAGCCAAACATAGATATAACCACAGACCAGCAAAAAAGAACTTTGAACAAGGTATTATGTTCCACCATCTCAAAAATTCCTTCCAGCTCTCCACCATCAGAGATCACTGTTGGATCCTCACTGTTTTCAGACTGTGTCTCTGTTTGTCTTAATTGACTATTTATGGGCAAACTCCTCCTCCCAGTACCCACTGACCTCCAGCCCTGAAAAGCCAGAAATGAAAGCCAGAGGGGCTTCCAAGGCAACTTGGCACAGATTTGAAAATTCTTTGTGGAACTTCCAAAGAATGAGTATTTCTCATACATATAAGACCCTAGAAAGCACTCCAGAAATTGACCCACAAAGCAGAGGTATCGCCTTAGAAAGAAAACCATCAGACAAACAGTAAGTTTGTCCGTTACACAATCTGAAGATTCACAGCTCTATCTTTCCTCCAAGGAGGCCAGGACAAAACACCAAGAACCATTCTGTGAGCAATGGTCCTTACCTTCATTCACGTCAGGAAACCACATGAAATATTTGAAAAAGGAAGCAAAGGGACGGGACGCAGGAGGGGACTTCCTGCCCCAATATACCCAGCACTGCTCGCTCAAACAACTCGAGGGGCCCTTTCCCCTAGGTACCAAGACGCCGTGAGTATCCCAACACAGCACAGGGACTAGATTGGAGAAGGTCGCAAACTAGAAAGGGTCAGATTAAAGACCAGCAGACTATGTTCCCAATCCATAATCCAAGATCAAGGATGCTTCAGTTAGAGTCCCTGAGGGGATCCGGCCAGGGATGCACAAGAACCACCCCCTGCGCCGGGCTTCGGCGGTCCATCCTCCCTCTACGGCCACCAATCTGTCCCACAGCCCCAGTCTCTCTGGTGTTCCGGTCTCCCCGGCAAAATTCGCCTTGCTGACCCTCGGCCCTCAAACCGCGCCACTCCAGACTGCAGCGCCGGCTACCCTAGCCACGTTCCGCCTCCTGCGAGGCGGCTCCCGCCCCGGCCCCGCCTCTCCGCTCTGTTCGGCAACTGATCCACTGAGCTCCGGCTCCCCGGCGCGGCCCCTTACCCGAGTGGAGCCGATGTCCATCATCACCTCCTCGAAGGCCGCCGTCTCCTCGGCCTGACGCTGCTTCTGCAGTGCGATCTTCTCACTAAACTTGCGCGGATTGGAAGCTGAGGCCGTAGCGGAGCCCGGCCCGTTTGCCCCCGACGTCGCCATCTTCCTCCCGCGTCCCTCCCCGCCACCTTCCCAGTTCCAGCCACGGCCTCCGCCGCGGGCCCGACCCGGCTCCTCCAGCCGTAGCCGCCGCCGCTGCCGCCGCCTCCGCGAGCCCGGCGGCCCGGCCCCAACCTAGCCCTGACCTGCGGCGCGCAGCCTTCTGGGACTCGTAGTTTGTATACTGGTTTCCTCTATGTCCGTAGTCAGGCATCCCGGGGAGGAAGTGGACTCCACTTCCCGGCAGGCCTACGGACTCTGGGAGCACGGCACGCGCCCCACCCCTCGCCTACTCCCAGCGTGGGGCAAGCCGGGAAAAGTAGTTCTACAAGTCCCGAGCCTACGAACTGGAAGGGGAGAGGGATCCAAAAAATGGAAGAGGAAGGGAAGGGTGGAGACAGAGGGAAGAAGGAAGAGACAAAAGAAAAATTTGGTCATCCTCAGGCAAGACGACAAGTGGGGCGAGTGAAATCTTAAGTCAGCTGCAAGCACTGGGACTCAGGTCTCTCATACTGGCCATATGCTCTCCCTTTTCCCAAGACAAATGAACCAGATACCATAGAGATGTATAGAAACATCTTTTATTTGGGTAACATGTCCCAAAACAGGTCAGTTAGTAAAATAGATTCTAAAGAGTATGGCCCTATACACAGCCCTCCCTCCCCAAAAATAATTCTGAGGGTTGGTGTTTCCCTCCCCCACTGGACTCCAGGTATAAAAAGTTTTGGCAGCTCAATGTTTATTATCTAGGCATAGGGCATTATGTCCACCTTCCGTAGTCCTCGGGTGTCAAAGCAGTACCCACTTTTTCCTCGCTCCAGATCAGTTCAGCAAACATTTCTGCCCCACCTCAGATTGTGGAACCAAAATATAGAACAAGTCTCCAATACTGAGATGCTAGGCAGAGCCCAGTGCCACATCACTGTGCTTTCAGAAAAGGAGCAGATGGTGTTTGGCACTTTAAAAATGTGAGTGAGCAGGATAGGAGAGGCCAGAGAAGTTATGAAAACTGGCACAGAGAGAGACCATTTGGCACTAGTCCCTTGGTAGAAAAGAAGAAAAAAAGAGATATCAGTAGGAAGCAAGATGATAGGAGGATCCACTTCAATTGGCAGCGTGCTGAAATGGGCTAGAACTAACATGATGCTGACTTTGGTCTATGTCTTCCCTATAACATTACCCCAGGGCAGATGTCTGCTGACCTCCAGCCTTTTCTGTCAGCTTATCTCTTAGGTGTAGTATCTGACCTCTGATTCTAACAGTCTGCCTCAATCTTAATGTGCCCTGATTATGTCTCTAGTAACTTGACCATCTCTTACTCTTTGGGCCCGAGGCTAGCCTCTTCCTTGCCCACTTCCTCCTCATTAATTATAGTCCCAAATGTTCCATCTCTACCTCTCAGAGAACTCTTTAGTCTTCACTATTTCCGTTCCCCATTCCTTCCTATGTCCCACAAACTGGAAGAGGGCAGGGAGGACAGGGGCACCTAATAGTCAACCTCCCCTGCCCTTCTCTTGAAGCACCTTAGATTTGGACAAAGAGCAGGCCAGTGAGCAGGGCAAAGCCTGCTAGAAGCAGAATGACCTTGAGGATCCTCTGTTCGGAAGTGGCCAGCTCCTGGGGTAGGATTTCCAGGAAGGTGATATACAGGAAGGTGCCAGCCGCCATGCCCTCCAGCACAGACTGGGCCAGCTGATGCAGGGGCCCAGCTGACTCTGCCAGAGCTGTACCCAGCCCAATACCCAGAGGTGTCATACAGGAGAAGAGGATCCCACAACCAGCTACCACCTGCACCCGTAGGTGGCTCTGGAGCAGCCGCAAGGACAGGCTAACTGCCAGGATACCCTTGTGGAGCAGCAAAGCTAGGCAGAGCTCTATTGCCCGGGCCCGGTCCCTCTGCAACCCCACAGCCAGGCCCTCAAACACTGAGTGCAGGGCTAGGGAGAAGACCAGTACACAGGCACGCAGGGCTGAGGGAGCTGCTGGAACTCCGCTTGCCTGGGGAACCCCTGGTCCATCATGCCAATGCTGAGGCCCACCATTCACTGTTCCCAGCAGAGCCCTTGTCTCTTCCCGATGCAGTGGCCCCGACTGCTCCTTGTAAGCCAGTGTGATCTGCTCCATCACCAAGACCAGGAAGAAACCCATGGCCAGGATGAACTCTTGCAGGGGAAACTGGAGCTGTGAACAGAGGTGGCAGCAAGGGGTTAAGGAAACAGAACAAAAATGGGAAGGAATGAGATACAGAGCCTGGTGGAGGCCCAGACACACACACTTGAAGTTCCACAGACACAGGTCCCTCTCAGTCATACAATGATGAAGCCATTTGGTGGCACGCACACAAAACATATACAACCCAACAGATACAGTATCACACAGTGATACATATGTACACCAAAGTGTCTCAACTTTGACAGTAATAACATTTTAGGACAAATAAGTCACAGCTATGATGCTATTCTAAGTAAGCAGCATCTCTGACTTTTCTTCCCAACAGATGCCAATAATTATAACATCACCATACCCCCCTAACCAAGCTCTGATTACCAAGAACGTCTCCACACATTACCAGATGTTACCTAAGGGGCAAAATTTCCTCTGGTTGAGAGTCAAGGATATAGATGTATACAAAGTGTTACATGCAAGCATATAAACAAAAGGTCACACATGGGCCAACCTTTGTGAATACTCACACACACAAAGCTACATAGTGTCACAGGGATATTCGTAATTATAAGGACACATAGGTCACTCAGTCACAGATACACATAGGTTAGCATTCATTACTGCTTTCTCAGTCATAGGGAAAAAGGAGAACTTGGGATGACTTTGTTGTCACAACTGTCTCAGTTTTCAGTTTTTCCTATAATGTGTTTTCTGGGTGTTCTTTTGTGTGTAGAAAGGGGTTGAGACAGGGTCTCATTCTGTAGCCCAGGCTGGCCTTGAACTTCTGTGATCTTCTGGCCTCAGGCTTCCTACCACTCCCAGGTTTATAATGAGGTTTCCTATGCCTTGGACCTGATCATTGCCTGTATCCCATTTCCTTGAGCTTAAAACCTTTTTGGTTAGCAACCCTAGACCCCTAGGAATTGCCTTCTGCCCTTTGCAGGTCTGCAGTGATCTGCCTCCAGTCCTTCAAGTGGTGAGTGCATACCTATAATCCCAGCATTCAGGAGATGGAGGTGAGAGAGTTTGAAAGCAGTCTGGACTACATACTTAGACTTATTAAAGAAAAGAAAAGGACCTCATTCATTTTTATGTAAGCAACACTAATTAAACTCATTAGGTCACACACACAAGGACATGAGCCTCTGGATGTAACTCAGTGGTAGTGTTTATCTAACACAAGCAAAGCCCTGCATCCCATCCCCAGCAAAAGTGGGGAGGGCATTAATCCCAACATTCTGAAGGCAGAGGTAAACAGATCTCTGTGAGTTCAAGGTCTTCCTGGTCTACATAGCGAGTTCCAAGTCAGCCAGGGCTACAGAGCAAGACCCTATCTCAACAAAAAAACAAAAGCAAACTAGAAGAGGGACGAGTTGGTAGTTAAGAGAAAGGGGATCGGGGGAGTGGGGACAAGTAATGGGTAAATACAGTCAAAGTACTTCATATCATATACATGTGTGAAAATGTCAGTAATGAAACACAATACTACATATATGTGAGCAAAAATTAAATATGAAGGAAGAAAGAAGGAAAAAAGAAAGGAAGGAAGAAAGAAAAGGCACACATCTGTGATCCCAGAACTTGGGAGACAGAGGCAGGAGGACCATTGCAAATTTAAGGCAGGTCCACATAGCACTGTGCCAGGCTGGCCAGGGCTATATAGTTAGGTCCTGTCTCAAAAAAGAGAAAAACAAATGGAAGGAGAGAAAGGGAGGATTATAGGAAGAAGGGACAGAGGGATGATGGAACGAGAGAGAGATGATTCTTGGAACACTGTTAACTTCTACGCAACTGAAAACTGAAAAATCCAGAGTAGTTCACATACCTAAGGTTCCTCACACTATCTCAAGGAGTACATAGGGTCACACAGGGCCTTGCAGAGAGGAAAGGGATGCAAACAAAGTTATGCTCTGTTGCTACAATTCACAGTTCACAGGTTCACATACCAGGGGCCTTCCACAGTCGTGGAGTGACACCTGAACATATCTATATAAACCAAGTTTTTGATTAGATATGCAGCACCCTGGGTCACATGCTGAGACCAGTGCTCACCGTCACATGCAGGGCTGCCAAGGCCTCATCTATGGCAGCCAGGTAGTCAGGTAACAGGTCCAGAAGACAAGTAGCCAAAAAGATTCCTCCTGCAAAGCAGCTTATGAGGCTTAGGACTTTCTGGCTGGAAGCTGGGCAGAAGTGAAGTTCAAAAAGGGGAATAAACAAATGAATCCTCTGATACAGAAACCCAAGCAGTGGCCAGTCTTGCCTTCCCCTTCTCTTCAACCCCCTCCCCCAGCATCCACAGCAGCAGAAACTCACCTGAGGCTTCATGGTTAGTGCCTGGACGTCGCAGCACACAGACAGGCACCAAGCTGCAGAGGAGGGTGAGCACCAGGAGCAGCACCAAGGCCCCCAGCTTCACCTCCAGTCCCACTGGCATTGAGGGCTCTGAAGCTACTGCCTCTGGGCGCCATACCAGGAGCTCTGGCTCCCCCCAGGGCCCCATGGTGTTCGTGGTAGCTCCAGTGACTCAGACCTAGAAAGATAAAACTAGCATGGGTGGGGAATGGTCACACAGGAAAGAAGGGGGTCAAGGAAAGGGGAAGGTTGATCAGCAGAGGGCACTTCCCTCAGCCCAGCCACTTTCTGGCTTTTCCCAGCTAGGGTGACTCATCCACTCCAGCACCAGGAACATTCCTTTTCCTCCTCCCAAGTGACTGGTTCAGCAAGCCAACAAGAGGGAAACTGAGGCATGAGAAGTCTAGTATGGATAGCTCATTACTCGTAAACCTGGGGCTCCCAGAAAACGAGAGGCAGACTCCAAATAGGACCTGGAACTGGAGTCCCCTAAAGAGGGTAGAAGCCACCCTCTCACACTTCTGTAAGTGGATGAAGCAAAAGGGGCTCGGAGCTGTGGAGAGATGTCCGGGGTGCCTACATGGACCACCTGAGGGGCAAACTTGGGCGCTGGATCACTCTCACTCCCCACTCCCCAGCACCATCCCCCTGGAAGGCAGCAGCAAGCTTCCAGCCTCGCACTGGTAGTCTGAGCAGATGGCCAAAGCAGTGGAGTCTGGGGGTCCCGGGACAAGCTAAGACCGCAATGAGGGCGGTGTCTGGAAGTCTGACTCCGGGAGGCGGGGTAAGAGGTCGCCAAGCGTCGCAGGAAGCAAAGGAAGAATGTGAAAGCCGAGACTTCAGCTCCCGTGCCCAGGTAGCCTTCGAAGCGGACTTGGATCCCGCACCCAGAGAGCCCGCACTCACCTCGCGAGGGTCTCTCTACATCGCACCAGCACAGCTCCGGCCTCGCGTCGGGAATTCCCGCCCCCTCCTCAATCCTCTCCCCTCCCCCCGCGGCCGACGCGTACCGCGCCGGGCAGCCAATGACTGAGCTGGTGGGCGGGGCCTGAACTGGAGTGACGTGGGTGAGGAGCAATGAGAACCCGTGAGCAGCAGAGGGCGGGGCAGGCGGCGCGCTGAGTCCGAGCCAAGGCAAGGGAGGGGACTAGCGGGAAGACCCAAGGGCTGTGGGCCCCGGGCACAGATATGGAGATCTGACACGCAGGAGCTCGCCCGCGAACAAACACTGATCATCTGTGGATTTTTAGAAGTGGGAGCTAGGATCTTCCACAGGGAAGGCTTGCTCCAACTCCTTGCCTCCGTGTTGCCAAATATTCCTCCCCACATCTCTGGGGATATCTGCCTGGCTAAAGTCGAGCCGTCTTATCTCTCAGGCTCTTTCAGTGCGCAAGTATGCCAGAGGGAAATCTTTCCCTTCTTGGGACAAATTTCCTAGCCTGACTTCCCTAGCCAGCTCCCACGAGAAGGAAGATAAGACAGAACTGGGAAAGAACGAAGGCATGCCTTAAAAACGATCCTTTCTAACCTGTGACCTGACTTTCACGCAACCTCCTGCCTTCTGAGTAGACAAGCCTTGGGACCCAACACAGGAGTTTCTGAAACGCCACGAAGTGACGCTCTTGACATACCTCAGTTTATTGTCCAATTTACTGCTTAATGCCTTGACGTCCTGAGCCAGGATTTTCTCCAACCTCATCTTGCACTCTTCAAATCTTATCTTGTCAAGTAGGCCTGTTTATTCCTTCATGAGAGCAAAATTGTTTCTTTTGTTTCTATTTTTAAGGTTTTAGCTCTCATATTTGATGTTTATTGGCTTGGAAATCACTATGTAGCCAGGCTGGCCTCAAACTCAGGCCAATCCTTCCTCAGCCTCCCAAAGGCTGGGATTACAGGCATGTGCCATGCCAGACTCACCAATGTATTTTCCTTTCTGGACATTCACTGTCTCTTCAACCTGGATTCGCCTGAACCCCCTGCACTAAGAAACCTTCTGGACCAGCAAGGTGTCTCAGTGGGTAAAGACCCATGAGCAGCAGACGGCGGGGCAGGCAGCACGCTGAGACTGAGCCAAGGCAAGGGAGGGGACTAGCAGGAAGACCCAAGGGTTGTGGGTACACTTGGTACCAAGCCTGAGGACTTCAATTAGGTCCCCAAAACCAGAATGGGGAGGGGGAGGACCAACTCCAGGGGTTTGTTGTCTGACTTCCACATGGGGCCCAGTGGCACAGGCACCCACACTCTCAAAATAAAAGTAAATGAGCCAAGTATGTTAACACACACCTTTAACACAAGTACTTGGAAGGCAGAAGCAAGCAGATCTCTGTGAGTTCAATCAAGGTCAGCCTGGTCTACAGAGTGAGTTCCAGACCAGTCAGTGCTTAGTAGTGAGACCCTGTCTCAAAAAAGAAAAAAAAAAGGCTCTGGGCTCCTTCCCAGTTTCATCTTCTCCAGCCTCCTCCCTGAGACAGGATGGCGAGGGTCCAGTGAAGGGATTTGGCTGTATGGGGCACCTGCTCACCAGAACTGCCTTCAACTCTGGCAAAGTGGATATATTTCCATCAATGACCCCTTCATTGATGTCAACTCCATGATCTACATGTTCCAGTATATCACCCACAACAAGTTCACAGCATAGTCAAGGCTGAGAACAGGAAATTTATCAACAGTGGGAAGGCCATCTCCATCTTCCAGGATCTAGATCCCACCAACATCAAATGGGTGAGTTGGTGCCAAGAACGTTGTGGTGTAATCTGGTGTCTTCACTACCATGGAGAAGACTGGGACCACTTGAAGGGTGGAGCCAAAAGGGTTATCATCTCTCATCTCTGCCCTTTCTGCTGATGCCCTCATGTTTGTGATGGTCATGAACCAGGAGAAGTATGACAATTCCCTCAAGATTGTCAGCAATGCCTCCTGCACCACCAACTGCTTAGCCTCTCCAGCCAAGGTCATCCATGACTGCTTTGGCATTGTTAAGTGAGGGGCTCATGACCACAGTCCTTGATCATAACCCCAGGAAACTGTGGCATAATGGTCATGGAACTACCCAGAACATCATCCCTGCATCCACTGGCACTGCCAAGGCTATGCGCAAGGCCGTCCCAGAACTTACTGGCATGGCCTTCCATGTTTCTACCCACAACATGTCTATCATGGATCTGACCTGTTGCCTGGAGAAAGCTGCTAAATACAAAGTCATCAAGAACGTGGTATGGAGAGATGGCTCAACAGTTAAGAGCACTGGCTGCTCATGCAGACAACCCAGGTTCAGTTCCCAGCACCTACATGGCAGCTAACAGCCATCTGTGACTCCAGTTCCAGGGAATCCAATGCCTTCTTTGGGCCTCTGTGGGTATTGTAAGACATGGTGCACTTACATAAGGGCAAAGCACTCATGCACATAAAATAAATATTTTTTTTTTAAAGAAGGTGGTGAAGCTGGGTGTGGTGGCGCACGCCTTTAATCCCAGCACTCAGGAGGCAGAGGCAGGCAGATCTCTGTGAGTCCAAGGCCAGCCTGATCTACATAGTGAGTTCCAGGACAGCTGGGGCTACAGGGAGACCCTGTCTCAAAAAGACCAAAAAAAAAAGTGGTGAAGCCAGTCATGGTAGTGCATGCCTTTAATCCCAGCTCTTGGGAGGCAGGCAAATCTCTGTGAGATCAAGTGAGTTAAAGTACAGCTGTGGCTGCAGACAGACCCTGCCTCAAAGAAAAAAAAAAAAAGGTGATGAAGCAGACATCAGAGGGCCCTGTGAAGGGCATTCTTGGCTATCTGAGGACCAGGTCACCTCCTGTGACTTTAACAATGACACGCTCTCTTCTGCTCTGATGCTGGGGCTGGCGTTGCCCTCAACTACCACTTTGTCAAATTCATTCCTGGTATGACAACAAATTTGGCTACAGCAACGAGATGGTGAACCTCATGGTCCACGTGGCCCCCAAAGAGTAAGAAGCCCTGGACCACCCACCTCAGCAAGAACACCCCACGAAGAAGAGAGAGACCTTTAGTTTCCAATGCACTGAGTATCTCCTGTCCCACTTCCCATCCTAGACCCCCAGAAGAAGGGGAGGGACTTAGGGAGCCCTACTCTCTTGAACACCATCAATAAAGTTCACTGCACCCTTCAAAAAAACGAAGGAAGAAAGAAATTCATGTGTTAACATATACATGCATTGCAAAATCACTAAATCAAGCTAATCAACATAGTCTATTACCTCATGTTAAGATGAGAATGTTTAAAATCCACTTGCAGTTAAAAAATATTTTATTTATTTATTATTTATTTATTTTATTATTTTTTTAACAAGACAAACGCTTTATTTAACAGTGGCAGGTCGTCTCATGGGCCAAATGGTGATATCCAGATGGACCCAGCAGGCATGTTTAGTGCAGCCTCCGAGCCTCTCTTTCCGACTCCAACAGGGTGAGCACATCACCTTCTTGAACAGGGCCTTTCACCTTGCGGATGATGGAGCGGCTGGTGTCATCCATGAATTCTACTCTTACCTGTGTGCACTGTCCCTGCAAACCGGTCCTGCCCAGCACTTTGGTCACCCTGGCCAGCTTGATGGGCTGCACACGACTCGTGTCCATGATGGCAGCGATCTAGGGAAGAGTTATTTATTATTTTTATGTGTATGAGTGTTATGCCTGCATGTAGGTAAGTGTACCTGTGTCGTGCAATGCCTGGGGAGGTCAGAAGAGGCTGTCGGATCCCCTGGAACTGGAGTTATGGACAGTTGTTAGCTGCCATTTGGGTGCTGGGGTTTGAACCTGGGTCTTCTGCAAGAACAGCCAGTGTTCTTAACCGCTGAACCATCTCTCCAGCCCCGACTTGGCAATTTTTAAAAGCAGATCAAACATAGATTTAATATTTATTTATTATTTTTATTTTATTTGTATCAGTGTATTGCCTGTATGTATGGAAGTGCACCCATGTTGGGCAGTGCCCCCAGAGGTCAGAAGAGGGTGTCAGATATCCTAGAACTGGCTTTATGATCCATTGTTAGCCACCAAGTGAGTGCTAGGAATCCAACCTGGGTCCTCTGCAAGGGCAGCCAATGCTCTTAACTTCTGAGCCGTCTCTCCAGTCCCTTGAACATAGATTTATTAAGGAAAAATGAGGAAGAAGTCCCCAGACTGGGAGGGTCTCTGAGGGAAGAAAACGTTCTCAACTACTTAATTTATTTTATTTATTGGTTTTTTGAGATATGGTTTTTGAGATGCTGGGATTAAAGATGTGCACCGCCATGCCTGGCTTCGGTCAACAATTTTTTTTTTTTTGGTCTTTTTGAGACAGGGTCTCCCTATATCCCCAGCTGGCCTGGAACTCCCCATGTAGGCCAGGTTGGTCTCAAAGTCACAGAGATTCACCTGCCTCTGCAGAATTGAAAACATGTGTCACCATATCCATCTCCAGTTCATACTTGAATAGAACACCCTATGAGGAAATTTTCCAATCAAAATTCAGCAGGGGCATACTCTATGAACAATTTAAACTATGGTACTCAGAGCAAGGCTGTTGAAGAAAATAAAGTCTAGAGCCTAACATGGTTTGGTCTTTTTGAGACAGGGTCTCCCTGTAGCCCCAGATGTCCTGGAACTCACTATGTAGACCAGGCTGGCCTTGAACTCACAGAGATCTGTCTGCCTCTGCCTCCCAAGTGCTGGGATTAAAGTTGTGTGCCACCACACCCAGCTATACAATTTTAAACTGTACAATACATCTATCATTATTGCCTATAGTCACCACATTGTACAACAAATCTGTTGAATGCTACCTTAATTTGATACGTTATTAAGAAAAGTTATTTTTCAGGACTGGACAGATGGCTCAGCAGTTAAGAGCTCTAGCTGCTCTTGCAGAAGACCAGGGTTCGAATCCCAGCACCTACATGGTAACTCCAGTTCCAGGGGATTCGATACCCTCTTCTATCCTCTTCAGGCATTGCATGACATGGATGCACTTACATGTGGGCATGTAACACTTATACACATAAAATAAAAATAATAAATAAATAAATAAATAAAATAAATAAATAAATAAAAAAGAGAAGTTATTTTTCCTTTGCAAAACTTAATCAGGGAAAGAGGGAACCTAAACTAGATGATAACAGTTCTTTCCAGTTCCATATTCACAGAAGCTAACTCTGTTTTCCATTCAATTCTCTCTGTACACAACAGTCCACAGGAAAGCCCCTGGAAATGCATTTAACTACCTTTTCTTACTCTCCAAAGATCTAAACAAAAAGAGCTCTACTTTTCTCTGAGCCTTGCATCACCTAGGAAATCTGCTTTTGTCCACTTACTGCCTGAACAGGAAAGACAGACTTGAGAAATTTGAGAAAGCCCAGCAAGGCAGTTTGGTATGTGATGAATGTTGGGGAACGGGAGCTAGAAAAATGGCTCAGTGGTTAAGAGCACCTCCTGTTCTTCCAGAAGACCAGAGTTCAGTTCCCAGCACCCATAGTGAGTGGCTCATAACCACCTATAACCCCAGTTCCAGGGGATCCCATGCCCACTTTTGGCTTCCCTGGGTACTTGCATTCACATGCTCAACCCCCCTACACACACACACACACACACACACACACACAATTTTAAGTAAATCTTTTTTAAAAAGATTTCACTGAGGCAGGTGGATCTCTGTGAGTTCAAAAGCAGCCTGGCGTGGTGGAGCATGACTTTAATCCCAGCACTCAGGAGGCAGAGGCAGGCTGAGCTCTATGAGTTCAAGGCCAGCCCGGTCTACATAATGAGTTCTAGGCCAACTGGGGCTACAGAGAGACCCTGTCTCTAAATAAATAAATAAGATTTTAATGTTGGCTCAGGCATTCACATCTTTAGTTATTTAGAGAGCTTAAAAAAAGCTAACTCTCTTTGAGTTGCTATGAGACTAATATAAGAAACATGAAAATAGTTACATATAATATAGTTGCTCTTACTAAAGAAACAGTTGTTCACCACCAGGCATGGTGGTGTGTGCCTTTAATCCTAGCACTTGGAGGCACAGACAGGCGGATCTCAGTGAGCTCAAGGCCAGCCTGGTCTACATAGCAAGTTTCAGGCTAGTTGGGCTACAGGGAGACCCTGTCTCAAAAAGACCAATAATAATAATAATGATGATAATAATAATAATAACAATAAATTAGTTGTTCAATAAATGTTAAATCCTTTCCTGCTTGTACCCCCAGCTTACTCAAATCTTCACAAAGACAACTAATATCAGTTTGGTTTCTGGATATACCTCCTGAGTTTTCCTGCATTGGGGAGAAGTCATATGAAACTCATAGCTAAGTCAATATAGCTCCACTATTTGACTGGAATTGCATTCCTGAACTATCAGACATTGTATACAGGCAAAATAAAACAAAACCCTGAATTTTGTTATTGTTATTTTCTTGTCATGAGTGATTCCTTATCAGTAAAAGTGGCAAAATATTGTCTGCTCTGTGTGCCTTAGAGCTGTTGTAGATCTTGTGAGAGGAGAGTGGACAATGCAGATGAAAACAAATGTTTTAGACAGGTGTGGCAGCTCACACCTGTAATTCCAGCACTTGGGAGGATGAGGCAGGAGGATTTCGAAAGTTTGAGGACAACCTTGCTTACAGAGTGAGATCCTGGCTCAAAAGAATAAATATAGAAAAAAGAAAGAGAAGAAAGAAAGAAAGAAAGAAACAAAGAAAGAAAGAAAGAAACAAAGAAAGAAAGAGGGAGGGAGGGAGGGAGGGAGAGAGAAAGAGAAAGAGAAAGCTAGCTGGCAGGATGGTTCAGCAGATAAGAGCACTTGTCACCAAGACTGAAAATCCCCAGTACTCACATGGTGAAAGGAGAGAACTGACTCCTGCAAGTTGTTCTTTGCTTTCCACACCAATAAAAAGAGAGAGGGGCAGAGGAAAGGAAGAAAAAAAAAATCATACACGATTTGACAAGTTGCCGTGAGATGAAGCAGAAATAACAACAGATTTGTATTTGTTTTTCTGAGACAGGATCTCACGATTGTAGTCCTGGCTAGCCAGGAGCTTGTTCTGTAGACCATGTTGTTCTTGAACTCACAGAGATCTCCTGCCTTTGCTTCTAAGTGCTGGAAAGGAGTGTGTCACCATGCCTGGCCACAAGGAACAGATTTCAGCCAAAACTTCAATCATATCTAAAGTCTGGAGGGCAGGGGACACACCCAAACCTACTTTCTGTAACACAGTATATGTGTACTCATGTAAGTCCCAGCTCCCATATAACTTAAAGGAACATATAGTTCAAAACTAACACCAGGTTTTCATTAGGTTCCCTCCCCATCCCCAACTGGAATTAAATTTTTTTTTAATTTATTATTTTTATTTTATATGTATGTGTGTAATTGCCTGCATGTAGGTAAATGCACCTGTGTCGTGCAATGCCTTCGGAGGACAGAAGAGGCTGTCGGATCCCCTGGTACTGGAGTGATGGACAGTTGTTAGCTGTCGTGTGGGTGCTAGGATTTGAACCCAGGTCTTTTTCAAGAACAACCAGTGTTCTTAACTGCTGTGCTGGATAGCTTTAGTGTCAATTTGACACATCTGGGTTGAGGGAGCCTCACTTGGGGGATTGCCTCTATTGGACTGGCCTGTGACCATGGATTGTTGAGTGATGTGGGAAAGCCCAGTTGACTCTGGGTGATGCCACCCTTGGGCAGGTCATTCTGTATTGTATAACAAAGCAGGCTGAGCATAGACTAGGGGAACAAGCCAGTAAACAGCATTCCTTCATGGCCTGTGCTCCAGCTCCTGCCTCCAGGTTCCTGCCCTGAGCTCCTTCCTACCTTGGGCTCCCTGATGAACTGTGACGTGGGAGATGTAAGCTGAATAAACCCTTTCCTCCCCAAGTTGGTATTGGTCAGAGTATTTTGTCACAGCAATGAAGAACAAACTAGGACAACTGCTGAGGCATCTCTCCAGCCCCCTGGAATTCAATATTTTTCATCATCTGATAGTTCCTGTTCCTGATAAAACAGCTTTAAGTCTGGTGTGAAGACAGAATTTATTGGACAAACCAGCATAGAGGCACAGGCCTTTAATCCTAGTATTTGGGAGGCAGAAACAGGTGGATCTCTGTGAGCTCAAGGCCAGCCTGGTCTACATGGCCAGTTCCAAGCCAACCAGGGCTATACAGTGAGACCCTGTCTAAAAAAAAGGAGAGAGAGAAAGAGATAGATAGAGAGAGAGAGAGAGAGAGAGAGAGAGAGAGAGAGAGCCAGAAAGATGGCTCAGAGGTTAAGCACACTGGCTGCTCTTGCAGAGGACCTGGGTGAGGTTCCCAGCGCCCACATGGTGGCTAACAACTCCACTTCAGGGGATCTGATACCTTCTTGCCTCCACAGGCACTGCTGCATGTGGTGTACTTACATACATGCAGAAAAAATACTCATATGCATTTTTAAAAATAAAATAAAAATGTCAATAAAAAATTTCTACAATCACAAAAGAAATTTATTGTACGTTATCACTATACTGTTCTCTTGTTACTATTTTTTATTTAGTTATATTTTATTTGTACATTTTGCTTGCATATATGTAAGTGCGCCCATACATGTAATGCCCATTGAGGTCAGAAGAAGGCATTGGATCCACTGGAGATGGAGTTACAGACAGTTGCAAGCTGCCATGTAGGTGCTGGGAACTGAACCCCAACTGAACCCTGGTCTCCCATAACCAGTGCCAGGGCTCTTAACCCCTGAGACATCTTTCCAGCCACACTGTTTTTGTGTTTGAAACAGGATCTCATGTAGCCGTTTTCCTTCAAACTATGGGGTTACTCTAGCCTCAGTCTCCTTAGTACTGAGATTAATAGGAATGACCCACTATACCATGCAGTCGGGTGTGGTACTACATGACAGTGCCATGCCAACTATTCTGGAGTTTAAGGCCCGCCTAAGCAAAATATCGAGATCTCCCCATTCCCGTTTCAAAAAACAAAGCAAAACTATAAATATAACGTTGCTAGTAATTGTGTGCAAATAATAAGACAAATGCCCAAACGTAATCGCTTGGCTGTTTGAAGCTGTTTTCCAGCTCCGAGTCCCTGCATTAGTTAGCAGGGCCCAGGCAACACGCGCGCCCGCGCTGCAGCGCACCACACGGCTCACAGATCTAGAAAGTCCAAGACTGAACAACTTTCCTTTTACCCTCCGCCTAAGCAACAGCTTGGGGCTTCGGAGTCACGTAGGAAGCAAAGCCAAACCAAGACACTCCTACCCCCATTTGCTAAGCTTTCACGCCATCTGTCCTCCGAGTCCCGCGGAACCCAGCTTTTGCCAAGGAAATTCTGTGACCCCCATTGGCCTGCATCCTCTCAGCTAGCCTACGGTGTCCAAGAAGCCGGCCTTGGGAGAGTCATCCTTAGGCTCAAAGCCCTGCCTAGTCTTTAACGTCCAATTATGATTCAAATGTGGGAGTGCCACGCAGGGGGAGGGCACGCCTCCAAATCTTGGATTTGCCTTTTGATTGGTTGTCTGCCCTTCACTCGTCTCCCTGTCCTAAAAGCCGTGACTTCGAAACTGGTGCTCGGGTGTCCTGTGTGCTAGCCACTGTCATGTCACTTCTTTCCTGGTGAAACATCCAGCCCTTAGGAAGCTCTGCCATAAAAACCAAGAAGGAAAGGGCGTGACTACCTATAGTTTCCTTAAATTCAGTTTGCTGATGACAGCGTCTTAATCGCTACCCCCAGACTGCAGGCTCCTGGCCAGGTGCAACCCACTTTCCAGATGGATGGCAGGGGCGGGGTTTGGCTGGGCAGGACCAGGATACAAGATCCTGGAGGAAAGGAAAGGTATTGTGTTTAAGGCTTTAGCGGGTGAGTCTGGCTTGGCAAGGCAAGGCTCTAGGAACAGGTAATAAGGTAATACCCAGGGGGCCTATTTGAACGCGGGATTAGATGGGGGGTGGGGGAGGGTGGTAGGGGGCAGATCTCTTGTTCTTGCAGGGGCTGCGGCAGGTGAGGAGAAGAGTAACCAGGGCCTGCCTTCTGGAACTATCACTCACCTTCCTGCAGAAGCATGGAGCTCCGGTGTCCTGACTCGCTGGAGACTTTGCTGGAGCCCCCAGAAGATATCTTCGCCACAGGATCCTTCCTGGAGTTGGGGCTCAACTCTTCCCCTTCAGAGGTTCCTGTGACTAGGCTACAAGAACAGGGGCTGCAAGGCTGGGAAATAAGTGGGGGCCATGACTGTGTGAGTTTGGAGTAGAAGTGGGAGTGAGGTTGAGACACAACTCAGACCAGAAGCCCCAAGAGGTTTCAGCCCTCCCCAACTAGGAAAGAGGTCTGATAACTGGCAACTACCAAATAAATATGAACTGTAACTATCTCTATGCCCCAAAAGAAAAAGAACTGAAATTGAAGTATAAGACTTTCAGAATTATTTTTGGCAGACACATATACCTTCTCTCCTAATAGGGCCTTCAAGAGAGTGAGCCTGAAGATTTCCTGAAGCTTTTCATTGATCCCAATATGGTATACTGCTCAGAAGCGTCTCCTGGCAGTGACAGTGGCATCTCTGAGGACCCTGGCTGTTCAGACCGCTCCCCTGCCCCACAGACACCCAGTTCTCCTGCACTGTATGAGGTTGTCTATGAGGCAGGGGCCCTGCAGAACACACAGGGGGAAGCCAGGCCAACTTTCGGACTCATCTCCATCCAGCTGGGTCAGTGTACTTTTTGTCTTATTTTGTTTTTGTTGAGACAGGGTCTTATTATTTAGACCAGGCTGGCCTGGAACTCACAGAGATCAGACTCTGCCTCTAAGTGTGGGCATTAAAGGCTCATTGCAGTCAATGTGCTTTTTGGAAAGAGGGCAATGGCCTTTTCAACCCCAACCCTGGTCATTAAGAGAAGAGTGTCCCAAAACTGTTCCACTGTCCCTGCTGCCATCAGGAACCTCTGCCTCCTTTGCTACAGCCTCTGTACCTCCTTCAGACCAGTGGAGACCTGCATTCGTAGTGCCCGATGCCTGCACTGTCAGTGGGCTGCCCTCTGATACTCATACATACAACCTACCCAGAACCAGCACCTTAGCCCCAGCACCTCCTGCAGCCCTGGTAAGTCTTGGGGCCAGCCAGAACCAGTGTTCTCCCAACACATATGTCCTCACATGAATGGGAATGCAAGGGATGAGGGAGGGAAACTGATGAGAAACAACTGGCTTGCCCCATTTTGGGTGGCTGTGGGCCTGAAGCCCAAAGAGACAAGTAATTTTAAGAGCCATTGAGGGTGAAAGTGGTAAAGACTCAGTCAAGTAGTAGGTGAGGGTGAAGGAATCTACAGCAGGGACTCTGAAGAAAGCCCACACCTAATGTGCATGTGCATTTATGCTTAGTCAGAGCCACTGTCTCAGCCTTGGTTCAGGGACGGAGACTGGGAAAGGACACCTGGGAATTCAACTGGTTACTGGGGACAGGTTGATGGAGAAGCAATTGTGACACTGTTTCCACTAGAACAACTGCAGTGTGGCCACCACTGCAGTGCTGGGCAAGAGTACCCAATCATGTACCTTCCCAAGGTGGGCTAGAGGTTCCTGCTGTGAGACCCAAGAAAGGCCAAGCTCAAGATTCCTCTCTCTGCCTTGGGAAGTACTCCTTGTGCCCAGAGGCAGCAAACTCCTCCTAGACACTTTCTGAATCTGTGCTTGAAACTGGGACCAGAAGCCAAGCAGGGGTTGGGGTTGGGGTGTGGGTTGTACATCAGCATGGGGTTTTCCCCTCTCCCCATTTTTTAGGTGGATGAGACTGCCCTTAGTCTCAGAGACTTTGGTTAGGAGGATCAGAAAAATCACCCTCGCCGGGTGTGGTGGCGCATGCCTTTAATCCCAGCACTCGAGAGGCAGAGGCAGGTGGATCTCTGTGAGTTCAAGGCCAGCCTGATATACATAGTGAGTTCCAGGATAGCTGGGGCTACAGGGAGACCCTGTCTCAAAAAGA